TCTCTTCGTCATAACAAAGCACTTACCCCTCTGCTTACGCCAATGGCAACGATTCGCACCCTTTCACCGCAGTCTCTTTGTTACAGTGGTACTAAGAAAACTAAAAGATCCCAGTCTAATATATCCCAATTTGTATAGTTTACTGCAACTTACTACTTTGATCGCATCTAAAAGTCTTTGTCTATCTTACCATGACTAACACGTGTGAAGTCTTCGGGGTAAATTTTGCTTTTATTTCTTCGAAATCAACTTATATTTCACTTAAATTGCTCCTTTTTTTTCTTTTTACTCTTTAACACTTGCTGATCAAGAATAATAGAATCTTTAATTTGTACAAACTTCGAAAACTAGCTGAATACTTTAAAAGGTCCAATCACTGAAAATTTTGGAATTTTTTCATGGAAATTACAGACAAAAAATAAAATAAAATATTTCCTAAAATTTAGCTACAGCGTGACAGTTTCTGGAAAGAAAGTACGGGGTTGAATAGGAAACAGCAAAAGCGTATTTTTTTAAAGATAATTCTTCAAAATCAATTCAACATTACTGTAGAAAAAAAGGACGCATTTTTTTTTCAAAAAAAAAAGGAATTCCACTCTCCTTCTTGGACCACAGAATATTTACCTGACAACCTTGTCCACTTGTTATATTGTAATAACCGTCCACACATTTCTCACACATATTACCGTCCACATTCTCACGGCATTCACATTTTCCTGTAGCATTGTGACAGCGTCCATCATCCACAGCGCCGTAGGTGTTGCAGTGGCAAAATTGACAGCCATTTTCCGAGAAATTGAAATAACTTGGCCGGCACATGTCGCAGTGCTTCCCAAACACTCCCGTTTTGCAGGCACACTGAAAACAACTGTTCGCCTCAGCAGATCGGAGAAGAATGGAAAACAAAAAGACTTGCTAATAATTATTGAAAACTTAGTAATTTTGAATCAAGAAAATCCACAAAAAAGAGACTTATTTTTTAAGGTCACAAGCTTCAAACTTACCTGTTATTTGTTACTACAGCGCTGAAATTTTTCATGATAAAAGAAAGTGCAAAAATTCTAGTTTTGATCGAATCAGTACTACTCAGGATCCAAGTCATTATTTTTTAAATTTTACGAAAATTTTAATAAAGATAGCCAATTGACCTGGCCTGAAACTTCATCACATTCACTGCCAAACGAGCCAATTGCACTGCAGTTACATGGAGGGCACATTCTTTCGATGTCGCCATGTCCGTCCTGGAATAAAACAAATTTATAAACCTGCTCGA